TTTGAAAACAAGGCACATCAAAAGTCAAGGGTGTTTGGTCAGCATTTCCAATACAGCCTAAAGGATAGTTGTGCTTTTTTCTTAGCTGAATAACAAAACGTAGAAAATTCAAAAGCTTATCTTCATAATCATCAGGCAAATGCTGGGCTATAGATGTTCTTCTCCTAATAGATATATCAAATCTCTTCATAAAAAGAAAACACCAGTTTGCTGAACCTTTAAATGTGTTTCCAGGATACATGGTTTTCATAAGTTCTTTTGTCTTCATCTTTATTTCCACATTACTTATGGAACATTCATTTGATCGTCTTTCTTACACAAATTCAACTAAACTTTGTTCCATATCTGGATATTGAGCTTTTCTTCCTCTACCTATAGTTTTGGCACTTAATTTACACTTTTTTACTTCATTTTTATTTGTTCTCCATAAACGTATCTTAGCCTCATTCAAATTATATTCTCTAGCTACAGCTGTGTTTCCTATTCTTTCTGCTAATTCTATTACTTTTTGTTTAAAATTTACACTATAACTCACATGTTTTGATAACATTTTGGCAGTAAAATAAAATTTTATATTTATTGGGAGAACTACATGGTAATTTTCACATTATTTTAGTTTAGTTTCAATTTTATTCTTAATGTCAAAGTTGACAAAATGTCTTCATAATTATTTTTTGTTTGTTTTTGACAAAATTTATAGATGCATTTTATACATAGGGATAGATATATTTCTTAATTTTTGGATCATTTGTCGGGGGGCATATTATTTATGTGTGTGTATTATTTTTGAGAAATTACGGTACATAGATGGAAGATTGATTTGTTTTTTTAATACTTACCAACCTTTTGCAGTTCATTTAAAGTCAGAAATTATTATTAGATTTTAAGAATTTTTGAGGGTAATAATAATTTACTGATACAAGTCATACTAATTAACTCATAACTAGGGAAGAAGAGCTGGATTCATACATTTCTAAATGGTATTTGTGAATGTAGCAAATTTAACTGGAATTCAAACTCAGCTCTACAATTTCAAACTGTGAACTGTTATCTGTCTCAACACCCACACATCCAAACTTACATCACCTGGTATTCCAAAGCACCTCATCCATCTAGGTATTGACCACACTCAATGTTGCTTAACTTTAGTGATTGTACAAGAACCAGTGTTGCAATGTGATATGACCATAAAGATGGATGAGCATAAAAATAGTGATCTTAGTAGGGAAGATATTGAAATTATTTGACCAATGGGATAGCATATTAGATGGTAAGTCATAAAAGTATATAGGTATATATATAAATAGCTGGATAGCGGAAGACCATATTGCAAAAGTTGCAGTCAGTCAACTCAAAGAGCAGACAAATACAAAGATCATTAAAATGCGTGAAACAAAAACATATTTGTCGACCAGTGTATAAGAATCAGTGAGTCAGAATATCCAAAAATGAAAGAGTAGACAGTGAGAAAGAAATCAATGGTTTAGTCTCTTGGATTTGTTGTTGCTGTGCAGAAAATCTGCATAGTTTTTAGCCAGTCTTCTACTCCAAGTTGAAATAATTTTTAATTTGTTACTGTTGGATGAATCAGAATTATGACACAATGAAAATGCCATTGTCGATAATATAGAGAATGTACTATGGATTGTATACAAAACAAAATGAATGAGCTGATTGATAAATAGTAATTCTAATGATGAGATTAACCATTTCCATACAAGAAACATTCATCATTTAGTAAGCAAACAGCCAGTTCCACTATCAGTTGAAATTTATAAAATCTTTCTCTGAAAAGAGATTTTCAGGAAATTAGACTATTCAAGTCCATTAACTGTTATTACTCTTTCTTCTAAACTTTTGTTTAAAGTAGTAAAGTATAAAGTCAACACCTTTATCATTAAAAGTCAACATCTTATATCTCTATTTTATTTTCAACTTACATGTGCCATCCATTTTAGTTGTTGCTGCTATTGAGGGTCTTCAAGTGATGTAGTTTTTGGTTAAAGTTTTTGGTAAAGTTGTTTTGTTTTTTATTCTGTTGTACCAGTCTAAGATATGGTGAAAAATTGTCTTCTTTAATGCCTACAGGGTCCATTTGCTGTCAGTTTTTAATGTGTACTTCACTATTATGCAGTCTGACCTTTGTCCTTGAAACTTTCAGTCTGATTTTGGTTCTTAAACCTTTCAATTTAACTTGTATCCTTAAACTGCCATTACAATAATAGTCATTGGACTAAGGATCTCTTAGTCTGAAAACCACTTTTATTACAACTACTTATCTTATTAACATTACAGTATCCTGTCAGTCAGTCAGTCAGTCAGTTATGTGCCATGTGTGATACATGCTTAGCCAATCATGTATCTTTTGATACATGACTGATGAGGCAGATTTTTTTCCTTCAGTAAGTTGCCATTACTTTCTGCGGTAGACCAGTTGTCATCCAAGACTATAGAACCTGGTTTTTCCTGCTATTTACCCATAGCTGGGGGGAGAAGAAGAGGATTCATACCTTTCCCAAGGGTATTAGTATGTAGGTGAATGTTATGGACTTGACATTATTAAGACTGAGTCTAAATGTAACACTTTCTTCATATTAAATAAAGTCATTAAATAAAAAAAAAAACTAGCTAGTTTTAATCTCTCTATATCTTTATTCCTCATATCTCTCCTATAGAGATTTTAAAGATGGCTGATATTGAGCTAGAAGGACAGATAAAATTATTCATGAAATGTCAATAAATCCATAAGAGTCTAAGGTTACAGTGATAATAAACTAATTTTGATTTAGATATTCCAATAAACAAAACAAGTCAAAACAAGTTTTAGGTTTTTGTATTATTAAAAGTTAGCTGTCTATATAAACTGTAATATGGCAAGTTAGATATCTGAAACAAATATATCAAATTATATATATATATATATATATATATATATATATATATATATATGTACTAATATGACTAATACATTTATATATATATATATATATATATATATATATATATAGATAGATAGATAGATAGATAGATAGATAGATAATATTAGTGGTCAATATATATATAGATAGAGAAGATAGAAATATAGATAAAGAAGATAGATCCAGGTAGAGTTCAATGTCCAGGACAGAGCAAGAATATAATATAAAGGGCTCAAACATTAATGTTCCATGGTTATAATTTATTACACTGGAATTGTAATCACAATCAATTCATCAGACCTACAAATTCAAAAAGCATCAATAAATTGTGGTGCTTTTTTGAATTTTTAGGTCTGATGAATTGGATCATAATATGATTCAATGTAATAAATTATAACCATTAATATGTTGAGTCTTATATATATATATATATATATATATATATATATATATCCAAGTATATAATTGGTGTATATGGAATGAATTCCAATAACCAACAATTACTATTCTTAAAAGAGTGCTCAATACAGAGTAGAGCAGATATAATTATTTATTTTAAAAAATTATAACATAAATATGTTATAAAATCACTATGATGTTGAATTCAACATCATCACTTGATAAGACACCGGAGGTGTTGAAACAAAATGGCTATTTTTGTAGTGATTTTATAACATATTTATGTTATAATTTTTTTAAATAAATAATATATATATATATATTTAAATGTATTAGTCATACATAGAAATAAATTCAACCACAATTTCAATATAAAAAAATGTCACAAATGGGCGACGCTTTAAGTTTAAGAAAAAGTCCATTAGACAAAATGTCTGTTGATGAAATATCAAGTGTCGCCCATGTGATGACAACCTGATCATGCTAAACGGAAAGCTGATCATTTAAAAAATTTTCAGTTATCTGTTTTGGATAAGACTTGTTGTTTATGTCCATCGTCTTTGTCAAATTGAACTGAATTGTATTTTAATGAATATTGTCTTGAAAAAGGTTTATTAAACCGAAACGTCAGACGTCGACATTTCATTCATTTTAAACAACATAATTGCATTTAAGGATTTTTGTTTGTTTTTTCCAAATTTTTCTTCATATATATATATATATATATATACATACATACAGAGTACGATGGATAAATTGTCATCAAAATTATTCAAAAATAAAAATAATACTGACATCTCATTTTAACAGATACATTTACCAAAATTACACAAAAATATTTTGAAATAGTAAGGAGTAAATTTATTCAATAAATTTATTCAATGAATAACCATTGGCTTCAGCCATGGTCACCAGATGACTTCAGAATTCTGCTATAATCCTTGCCTTCAGTTCATCTTTGGTGTTACAAGGAGTTTTTTGGTCTTTTGCTCAACTGTACCCCACATATAATAATCAATAGGGTTGTAGTCTGGGGTGTTAGGTGGCCAGATGTAAGGAGTAATGTGGTTGCAGAAATTGTCTGACAGCTATGACCGGGTTCTCCTGCTTGTGTGGTATCATGCAAAGTCCTGTTAAATCTGTCCAGACAAAGTGTTTTGAAGCACAAAATCCATTTGTCTTCATGTTCCTCTAGTATTTTTCTAAGGTTATCTTTTGTGTCTATTTCTATTTTTTCAATAATAATGAATTGTGCATGGCTGTTAAAATCATGTTTTTCTTGATGGAAATGTGCTACAGGTAATAACCTTTAGTGGGAAGCTGACTTGATTTGATTCCAATAATTATTAATTCTGTAGTGAAAGGGCCATATATATATATCTATATATATGTTGGAAAAGGATACAAAATTCAAATTTAAACATATTTTTTCAAATCATTCAATCTTCGATTTTGTCAACTGGATGAATAATATGTCTTTCCCGAGGTGCATATAAATGCTTAGATGATCATGTCTCTTTTCAGTTCATAATAAACTTGGCAGAATTCCCATAAAGGGGAGAAGAGATAGATTCATACTTATCCCAAGTGTATTTGTGCGTAAGTGAATGTAACAAACCCAACTGGAATTCAAACTCGGCTCTCCAATTTCTTATTCCAAGCTGTTATCCATTACTCCCCTAGTACAGCACTTATTATTCCCAAATGGTTACCCATTTAGTTACTGGCCAGGCTCAATGTTGCTTAACTTCAGTGATCAGATGAGAACCAGTGTTTAAATGTGATATGGCTAAAAGCTAATAATATATCTATAGCTATAATTCTCAAAATATGTATATGTGTATGTGTGTGTGTGTGTGTGTGTGTGTGATTGGATGTTGTTTATGCATTTCCACAGTTTTCATCCAATTTTGATGAAATTTTTTTGTTTGATAGATAATTCTTCAGTACCGGTTTTGAGTCCAAATTGTTGGCAAACAATGACTCTCCACTACTTCCTGTTTATTATAACTCTCAGCAACATTTTACTATTTACTATCTGGTCTTGGATATGTATCTTTCATAAAAACTTTTATAAAAATAAGTAGTTTAAATTATTACAATAATATTATTTATTATTATACAGTTCCTTTTTCAGGGCCACCCCCCATTCAAATTGTTAACCCCCCATTTGGGGATGTGCCTCAGTTGCACCCAAATGCTGTTACTAATATTGATTTTCAGGTGGGCTGACTTTAAACTTAAACTGCTCCAAATGAATGGCAAAAATTCTCAGTAATGAAAGATCAGTCAAAGACAGGTTATACTGCTAGTAATAAAATAAGATTGCAAGAAAAATACATTTTTTTTCTCATTTTCAGACTTTTGTTCATCAGTGTACTGCATTCTCACATACACACACATATATAGTGACATAGCATTTTCTGGTGGTAAATGAGGTAAAAATGCAAACAACAATTATTGTGCAAAGTGCATTTGAGTCTAGATAAGCAAAAACATAAGCAAATACTATATTTGATGACATAAAGACATTCCATTTACATTTAATATTATAGTATTATGTATTATAGTATTATGTAGTTATGAAAATATAAAACATTAAATATCAGTATTCAAAGTCTACAGTATCTGAGTAAATATTAGCCTACAAGATCTTTCTATTTTGCATATAAGATCTGGGAGATATTTCTTGAGACACTTTTTTATTAGCCTACAAGATAATTCTATTTTGTATATAAGATCTGGGAGATATTTCTTGAGCCCCCTTTTTTTTCTGAGAACAAAAAGCTAATGGTCATCCATATCTGCTATCATATACAGAAAGCAATAAATTTTGATTAATTTTAGCTTATTCAAAATCTTTTCAAAGTAATATACATCTCTCTTTTATTATATTTTCTTGAAAAGATTCATAATAAGATAGAATTAATTAAAATTTATTGTTTACTGTATATGATAATGTATATGACTGTCTTTTATGGGCTAAGTCATTAGAATATGTGCTTTCTGATCATGAGACCCAGGTTCAAATCTCACCATGGTCAATTTGTCAGGCAGGTGACTTCTGAATGCTATCAGTCTGAGGATGAGATCCCATGGCATTTCACCTTTGGAAAGTATCTGAAAACCCTACCACAGGTTGACCGAAGCCTTGTAAATGAAGTTGGGTACACCCATCTGTTTGGAACTGCCACTCTTTGTGCTAACAGTCACAAGTCATCATGACTAAGTATTTGGGTGTATTGCCCTTGCTAAAAAAAAATTGATTACGCCAGATTGTGTGCTCTCTCCCAGAAACTGTAACTAAGTTCCCTCAGTATAGTTGTGGTATAACCTGGCCGACTTGTGTGCTCAGAAATGAATAGTAGCCAACCATAACTATCTTTTAAAGAAGTTTACAGTCAAATCACACTGAAAACACCAGTTCTGATTTGAATTTAAGCAATGTCAAGCCTGGTCAGTACATGGATGGGGGTAGCTGTTGGGAACACCAAAAACTGTAAGCATCTCCAGAAAGGATGGGTGAGTGTTGTAATGGATAATGGCTTGTAATGAGAAATCAGAGAACCAAGCTTGAATTCCAGTCAGATTTATTATTTTCACTTGCATGCAAATACCATTAAAATCCATCTCTTCCCCCACCTATGGGTTAAGTAGTAGGATTTATATCTTGTTAAATCATTGTTGTTCTCAGAAAATTCTTAACACAATATTAACTCCCAGAAAAGAATTATTCTTACAATCCTAAATATATTTCGGCTTTAAATAACCCACTAAGGGTTGATAAACTGTAAAAAAACTAATCAATCAATCAACTTTTAAAGAAAATCAGAGTCAGTAGGTAAATGATAAATTTTACAGAAATTTTACAATAATTCAATAAAATTTACAATTTTATTTTCTCCTTTAATCTTTGAATAAATTCTTAAGGTGTAATGGATAGTAGCTCTGATTGAGTAATCGGAGAGCCGAGTTCAAATTCCAGTTGAGTTCATTATATTGACTTACATGCAAATACTTTTGAGAAAGGTATGAATCCATCTCTTTTCCCCCCAGCTGTAGGTAAATAGCAGGACAGGCTGGGTCCTATAGCCTTGGCTGGCAGCAAGCTTTCACCATTATAATCAAACCAATAATCAATGTGCAGGTAATCTAGCTGTTCAATTCCAGGAACTGAGCTGTTGGGACCTCATATATTAGAAAATGATGGGAGTGTCCTCTATATATGCATTAGTTATAAAAGTGATCTTGAATTCAGACTTTAATATGTGAATGGCAAAGATATTTTCTTTCCTGTAATCACTTTAGTTATTGTTGTATTTTAGTTTTATTAGTGTTGTATTAGTTATATTGAGTAGTTAAATGGAAAATTAATATAAGAATATTAATGGTAGTTAAATGGCAAAATGGAAAAAAATCTAATGCTACACATTTTGTCCTTCAAAAGGACTACTTCAGACTAATGTTTTTATTAATGAAATCATATATATCTAGGGGGAGGGAATGAAATACAACAAATGTCAGTTATAATTTTACATCAAGAGAAATACTGAAGATACATGGACACTTAACTTTTTAAGTTAGGCATATTAAATTTCTGATGTCTGATGTGTCTAGATGCACAAACTAGTCAACCTCATCCACCTTTCGACTCTTGTTTTTTAATGCCATTGTTTTAAAATATTCCACATTGTAATAGCAATAGTTTTGTTAAGGAAGGTGTTATGGACATAGTCCAATATTTAGAGTTTGTATATCATATCCTGCCATTACTAATATTGTAAACTGTATCATTTATGGTTGTTGTCGATTTGCCTAATCAATTTGGTTTATCAAGCAGACACACTAAACTGTTCTAAAATAAGAACAATTGTTCTTTCATACAGATTATTAATAAGTAAAACCAACTTCCCTGTAGAATCAAATATGATCAATTTAAACAAATAATATATACACTATTTACATTGTTTGAACTGGTGTCCTCATCTTTGTTGCCATATTCACAACATATCAGCTGTTGTACACTCCAGCCTTCTTCAGGTGACTGAAATTTCAAACTAATCCCTTTATTTCGTCCACTGAGGTAGATTGTTCTAGTTCCATGTGCCATGCCTCTTCCGATTGTCTCAGTATCAGTTATCTCCCTTTAACTCAACTCTCCAAGTTATTTGTTCAATATGTCATTGGCAAAGATATGTGCTTTCCTACAATCACTTTAGTTACTGTTGTATTAGTTTTAGTTTTATTGTAGCCAAATATTGAACTCACAACTCTTTGGGTCAAGTCACTGGATTCAACCAACACTTTTATCCACTGGACCATGTGTCCTTGAGGCCGAAATGTTGTGAATATGGCAACAAAGATGAAGACAACAGTCCGAACAATGTAAATACTGTAAATAATTACAATACCTCATCTCAGAAATATAGACAGGTATTAAACAAGTATGCAGCTTCATCAAGTTATAGATTATTGACATTTGTCTTGCATATATCAATTAGAGATACCAAAATCAAGCAACTATGAAAATTTAAACATCTGGGAAGTGTGTTAACAGTCATATATGTTATCATATAAAGTTGCGTTTGAACGGTGAAAGATGCCTCCAAAAGCTAAACAAAGTATTAAGAAAAAGGAAAACTTCATTAAAAACAAAGAAGAGAGTGATGAACTGCTATGTAATATCAGTCCTCTTGTATGACAGTGAATGCTGGACAATTTCCTCACAGATTTAAAGGAGATGAGGCAACAGAAATGTGGTTCTATAGAAGGATGCTGAGAATACTCTGGATGAAACATGTAAGCAACAAAGAAGTCTTAAAAAATGTAAACAAAACAGTTATTCTCAGAATCAAAAAGAGATAGCTGAAATTTCTTGAGCACATAATGAGGAAGGAAGGCTTGGAGAATTTCATACTCACAGGACAGATTGAAGGCAAAATGTATAGGGGAAGGTACCAGGCTACCTACCTGATGTGCTTGATGGAATGGTATGTGGGAGGAATGGCAAGGAGACAAATGTTGCTAAGGCCTATAAGAGATAGGAGATTGTGGAGAGACATGATTGCCCACGTCCTGAAGGAATATGGTACATAGAAGATGAAGATTTCTGAGGACATATTGAAAGCAAGAGGGACAGAGGGAAACATCAAGTAAGCTTGTGCAAACGGATGGCAGAACAGAGACTGGGAGGGATAGTTAAAAGACAAATGTTACTGTGATTAATGACATCCTAAATTTATTCCATAATACATGACCTTATAATGATAGAGAAATAAATAATAATAAGACCAAAATGTCATCATCTCTAAAAATATATAAAGGGTGTCTCATTAAGATGGATTATATATAAGGGTGTTTCATTAAGATGGATTAAAGTCAGCAGTAAAAAAATCAGTGTTATTGGTGAAATTTTATTTATTTCTCTATTGGATTGTGTTATTTAAATCATGGCAATTATGTGTGAAAAATAATATCACCCAAATGTCCACCAAATCTGAAAGAAAAAGAAAAAAATCATTAGACACTTAAACTTAATTCACATTTAAAATCAGTTCAAGTTATTGGAACACCTTTATATACTTAAAATCACCAGGCAAAACAAAGGCATAGTTCAACCAATCAATCAGAAAACTTTCACAACCAGCATGTAAGAAAAGAAATAAATAGATAACAAGGAAACCAAAATTTTACTATCTCTAAAAATAGATAGTTTGACCAATCAACCACAACCGGGATATAATGCTATAAGTCAATGATAAGCAGAGCACCCTTTTCAAAGCAGATCTAT